GGAGGCGGCCCGGCCTCAGAGAGGGGAGCTGGCGGGCTGGGGACGCGCGGAAGAGGGGGGTGAGCGGCGGCAGCAGCAGCAACGGGGACTCGCCCCCATCCCTGCGCTGAGGCCAGGCACAACGCGCAGCAGGCTGGGAGGGAGGAGGGGGTAAAAGGGTGAGGAAGGGGGCACGCCGCGGGGGGTGAGCTTGTTTGGTTTGGGGTTTTTTTTGGTTTGTTTGTTTTTTGGGTTTTTTTTACACAATAAGCTCGTCATCCTGGTTCCCTTTTCCCAGTCTCTTGGATGCCACCTCTTTGTATCCCGTGGGGTAACAGTTTTCGTTACATACAGCGTGAGGCATCTTGCAGGCGGGCACAGGCCTGAGCACCAAGCCCCTGCCTGCACAGGTACCCAGCACATCCCCTGCCAATTCTGACTTGCTCCCTGGACTTCCCAGGCTGGCATCAGAGCCGACTCATTAACTTACCTTGTTTGGTGGCCATTAGGCAGCAGAAACCACCCCTACCCCAACACTGCTGGGGGCTGGTTGCTGAGGACACAGCCCCACCTGCGCCATTGCTTCTTCCTGCTCATCCCTCATCCTCCCCATTGCCACAGCTCCAACCTGTCTGCTCCTGGTAGTACAAGTGAGGTCTGTAGCAGAACTCAGCTAGCACTCCTAATTGGACTTATGGGCAAGATAGCCCAGGTGCTGCTGTTCAGAGTATTTAAGGCCTGTTGGTGCCTGCTGGGAAGGTATAAAAAACTCTAACCTCTCTTGAGATCTGTTTGTATTACAGAAATGAAGGCAGTTTGGTCTGGTGTGAATGAAAAGCTTAGCAGTAGTTCAACCAAATTAAGAATTCCGTTACTTCCAGAAAGGTTAGTGAAGAGTTTTGGTTTAGTTTATGTTTATCAGCCTTGTAACAGCTACTTTATTTTGTGTTTAATTATGTATGTTTCTGTAACAGTGCTAAAACATAATAGAAGTTCTTTGAAAGCTTCAGATACAAAGCATCTGTAGCAGATATGCATTTGAAAGAAATAAAATAAGCATATAAAGAAGTAGTAAAGCAAGGGAAGAGGATACAGTGACTTGGAAAATATATGTTTCTAAGTACTAGAGAGTAAACTATGGTTAATTTCAATTGAGTCTACTGAACTGTAGCTAGCTGGAGGTTGTGTGTCCTGTTAAACTGTCCCTTCTAAAGGAGCAACCTCAGGAAAAGCAACAGTGAAAACAGCTGAGGTCAGTAACTGCTTTCAGCTTCTATAGCTTCATCTACCAGCATGTATAAATCAATACTTTTACTGTAGTTTACTTATATTTGTTCATATTAATAGTAAACTGCAAACATTAAAACTATGGTTAGACCATGTAGGAAAAGTCCACCAAAAAACTAACACCAAAAGTATTATCACACTGAATGAAAATGATTTGCAGGAATGTGTTAGGTAAAACAAAACAAGCTTAAAAAGATTCATCCCAGAGTCAGTGGTTGACTAGTAAGACTTGCCCTAGAAGTTGATAATGCAGGTTCAAGTACCTGTGATACTAAGTTTAGTTTTGAGCCTGCTTCTTCAAGACACTGAAATCAGAATTATCTGTTGATATCTAAAAGAACTTTTCCAATCAAGTTTTTGATAAAAAGTGGGTTGACAAGAATAACAGGCAGCTGGTATTCTGTATTTTAAGATAATATTGTAAACTCAGGGCATTCTGGCTCTGGTGCCTGTTCTTTTCTTTCCTATGGTGTTTTAAATGATCTGATTTCTTCTTTTACTTGCTTAACAAAATAATTCAAAATTGCAATTTTCTATGGAAAGTGGAGTTGTGGGGTCTTCTAGCCAATCTTTGAGGCAAAATTTATTTATTAGTCTTTTCTGATGATTAGAAGCATTAAGCTATACTAGTAATAAGTAACTTTAAAGTCCAACAAAACAGACAGACTTCAATTCCAGTCTCTATTACTATTTTTTTAAATTTTAACTTAGTTTTTTAAATTCCTGACGTAGTCTTCAGGCATGGATGTGGTCTTTGCTTAATATGTCAAGTGGAGGGAGCCATACCGACAGTAGAAAAAACAGTTTCTGTTTTCTCTTTAAGTTAACAGGAGTTGTACAAATTTATCTCAGGGTGGAATATCAGCTTATGTAGAGCAAAAAGCCAGGCAGGCGTTACCACAAGGGATGCAACAATAATTGGAGCTATCTCTTTAGCAATGGATGCTTTCACTTACCTTACAATGTTTCAAATGAAAGAGCAATTGGAGCCCAATGTGAGAGCCCTGAGAATCCAGGTACCCTGGTTTAACTGCACTTGGAAAGATCATCCCTATGTTACAGGTGAAGTAAATCCTAATGTAGGGATGTTGGACGTATAGTGCACAAATAGCACAGCTGATGTATGTGTGTGGATACTAAGAGTAGAGGATTTACTGCATGCGTGCAGATCACTGGCCTAGTGCTTACTCAGATCTGACATATTGGAGACACATTGGATTTGCTGGGAATTCAAAGACAGCTGAAGTACAAAATGCGTGAAAGCCATTTGTTTAGGAATTCCCTGTAAAAAAAGACTACAGTCAGTACATTGTGCTCAGAGGCAGTGTGTCATTCACAAACAGGGTAGGCTACAACAGAAATGGTGAAGCTGTAAACCATCATTCAGTTACCTAAGGGTATATGCAAATGACCTGAGGATGATCCAGTATTATAGCTAAATAAAAATCAAATATGCTGTAACAGATGAACCACACTGGAGTGTTTCACCCTCAAACTAGAGAGGAGTTGTGGAGGGAATCAGAATATGTAGTCTGCAAAGTAATTTCTGGTAGATTGCTTTTTTCTGTTTAAAAGAAAAATTTTAACAGTATCTTGGTCTACTTGACTGTGTTCCCAGCCTTTTCTGTAACACTTAGACCATTCTGTAATGTAACTGATCCCAGAATGTATAGCTTATTCAGTGTCCCCGTGAAGCAGCAGGAGAAATGTAGGTGAAAAAGTTTGGATTCTCTCACAATGATGTAAACTGGGACCAACTTCACAGAAGTCACTAGACTCCCCTCTGTATAAAACTTGGGTAAGAAGCAGCTTGGGAAAAGAATATGATCTTAGAAAAAGAATTAAAAGCTTACCTTAGGAAAACGTTGTCATTTTAAGATCTGCAAAAGTAGGATTTTACCCTGGAAAAAGACTGTCTGTTCCTATGCTGTTTTGGTATGTCTGTATTTCTGTGGTCTGTCACTACAAAAAGCACTCCTGTGCCTTTGTACTCCTGAAGAATCAGAAAGTGTCTCCTTGTCTTTGCTATCAGATGTGCCTACTTATTAGTTGAAGATACAGTAAAGAATGTCCCTGTCTTGAGATGTGTGTGTACTGTTGCACACACAAAAATGGAGTTTCAGCTTTCAAAATCTATCTGATGAAAAATGATAAATCTGGCAACGTTTTGTCTTACCTTTTTATTAAATCATTGTAACAGCAACCTGCATCAAGGTTGGAGTGACATGTTCAGAGGAAGATAAACTGTGCACCTGTTGGGGTGCCAACTGCAGTTTAGTTTTAGACATGAAATCTGTAAATGCTACCATAAGTATTACATGAAGCCAAATGTAGTGATACCCTAATAACAGCATGTGGTATTGTATTAATGCTGTAAACAGCTGTGCAATAGATAGGTGTTTCTAATACATTGCTGTCTGCTAGTTGCTTACATTTGTTCAGTGAGTACACATGAACTTTCAGGAATGTTTCTTACTGACTCAGGCAAAGTATGAGCCATAGCTGTGTGATGTTTGAGCACATGATCCTTAACACAGCATTTAATCCTTCTACTGAATGTGGCTGAAGATCAAACTGTTAATTGGCACTCACCATCTTTTTTGTTTGTTTCTGGTACCTGTAACCAGGAATGAGTGTTCTGGCCTCGTAGCCAGGATGTTAAGGAATCTGATCCCTTTTCTGCTAGTATTTCTGTGTAACCTCAACTAATTCAGTCTCCCTGTGCTTTAATTTCCACCTCTCAAAGCAGTGCAACTACTGTAATCCACCTCACAAAGCTATCTGAAGATACATCTCTTGCCTCTCATTACACAAGCACAAGATTCATGGTCTTTCTAGGAGGCAAGATTGATGCAAATCATGATTTCTTTGATGTGATCCTGATCAATACAGTCAGAATGCAAGGGTTTGTACTTCTTTCAGAAGTGGTCATAACTGGTACTTAAAAGTGTTCCGAGCTGCAGAAGACCACTTAGTGTTAAATTTGGTAGCAATGCAAATCACTCAATGTGCCAACTCTGAGGCAGGTCCTTACCATATAATACTTTTCACAAATTTACAGTGCTTCTAAAATTATACCCTACAGCACTTCAAATTCAGCAGACTTGGATCATGAGTGCAAGTAGACATCATGTATCATCTTTATTCTTAGCACTACACTTCCCAGCGGGCTGTGTAGGGAGAGACTTTCAGACAAGATGAGCTTGCCTTACTACCAGCCTAAACAGTATAAGGAAATGTGTGGTCACTTTGCTGATGCGTCATATACATTACGCATTAAACGAGGGCAGGAACACAAAAAGGCAAGTAACCAAAAATAATCAGCAAGCTGTGGTATCACTTCAAAGGAAAAATGCAAGAGGTGCCCCAATATTTTTCGTGAGTCAAAGCAAAGATCACATGTGAGGGAGATGAGCAGCAAATAAGTCAC